TTTTTTTTAAAATTTATTTTTGATTTATCAGTAATCACTTCCATATGCTTTTCAGTTTAAAATTTTTCTCCCCTTCCTCCCCACCACCCTCCCCAAGATGGCGCACAATCTCATATGGGCTATACATTTACATTCCTATTAAACATATTTTCACATTAGTGAAGTTGCAAGTAAAAATTAAAACCAATAGGAGGAACCATTAGAAAGAGGAAACAAAACTCAACAGAAGAGAAAAAAAATGACAGCGATTCAACTTTCATAGTTCTTTCTTTGGATGTGGATAGCATTTTCCATCACAAGGCCTCTGAGGATGTCTTAGATCCTTGTATTGCTGAGAAGGGTTAAGTTTATCAATATCAGTCATTGAACAATGTGGCTGTTATTGTGTACAATGTTCTCTTGGTTCTGCTCACTTCACTCAGCATCAGACCATACAAGTCTTTCCAAGTTTTTCTGAAGTCGATCTGTTCATCATTTCTTACAGCACAATAGTATTCCATTACATTCATATACCACAACTTGCTCAGCCATTCCCCAATTGATGGGCATCCTCTCAATTTCCAATTCTTTGCCACCACAAAAAGAGCTGCTATGAGTATTTTTGTACATGTGGGACCTTTTCCCATTTGTTTGATCTCTTTGGGATATAGCCCTAGAAGTGCTATTGCTGGGTCAAAGCATATGCACATTTTTATAGCCCTTTGGGCATAGTTCCAAATTGTTCTCCAAAATGGTTGGATGGTTTCACAACTCCACCAACAATGCATTAGTGTTCCAATTTTCCCACATCTTCTCCAACATTTATCATTTTCCTGTTTTGTCATGTTGGCCAATCTGATAGGTGTGATGTGGTACCTCAGAGTTGTTTTGATTTGCATTTCTCTAATCAGGTAATGATTTAGAGCATTTGTTCATATGACTATAGATGGCTTTAATTTCTTTATCTGAGAACTGTCTGTTCATATCCTTTGACCATTTATCAATTGGGGAATGGCTTGTAGTCTTATAAATTTATCTTAATTCTCTATGTATTTTAGAAATGAGGCCCTTATCAGAGACTGGTTGTAAAAATTCTTTCCCAATTTTTTACCTTCCTTCTAATCTTAGTTGCATTGGCTTTATTTGTGCAAAACCTTTTCAATTTAATGTAATCAAAATTATCTATTTTGCTTTTCGTAACGTTCTCTATCTCCTGTTTGGTCATGAATTCTTCTGTTCTCCATAGATCTGATAGGTAAACTATTCCTTGTTCTCCCAGTTTGCTTATAGTATCAGCCTTTATATCTAAATCATGAACCCATTTTGACTTTATTTTGGTATATGGTGCGAGATTTGGGTCTAATGCCTAGTTTCTGCCATACTCTTTTCCAGTTTTCCCAGCAGTTTTTTTCAAAGAGCGGGTTCTTGTCCCAGAAGCTGGGGTCTTTGGGTTTATCAAATAATAGATTACTATAGTCATTAACTACTGTGTCTTGCATATTTAACCTATTCCACTGATCCACCACTCTATTTCTTAGCCAGTACCAAGCAGTTTTGATGATTGCTGCTTTATAATTCAATTTAAGATCTGGAACGGCTAGGCCACCTTCCCTATGATTTTTTTAAAATGACTTTTAAGTGATGGACCAGTTTTGAGGCTATGACAATAATCTAGACAAGAAGCAATGAGGACTTGAACGAGAGTTGTCCTGGGGGTGCAGAGGGGACAGAAACCATAGAGGTGGAAAGAACAGAGCCTGGCAGTGGCTTGACTATGGGAGCTGAGGGAGACTCCAGAGGCCAAGAGGAATCTGTGACATGAAATTTACAGCTGGGTGTGATTTAGTTCAACCCTATCGTTTTCCTTACTTTACTAAGGAGGAAACTGAGCCCCCATTAGATGATGCTTCCTCACTCGGCATGCAGTAGCAGATATTAGAGTTGGGATTTGAAGCTGGATCTCCTGACTCCCAAGTCCCAGGGCTCTTTCCATGACCATTCTACCTGGAGAGTTAGAGCCCCAGTAGTGAATGGGATCAACAAGGAAGAGAGTGTATGAGAGAAGAGAGGAGAGCTGAGAACACATCTTTGGAGGGACTCAAGAAGAAGGAGAAATTAGCAAAGGAACCAGTGAAGGAGGGCTTCAAGAGTCGAAGAAGCTCTTGGGTCAAGAAAGATGAGGGAATCCCAATTGTTGAAGGCCAATGACTTGATGTCTTTTAGGGCTGATTTTATTTTGTTTTTGGATGACGCAGCCAGAGCATGTGACTCCTAAAATATAAGTGTCTCTATGGCGTAGGGTTTGTTAGCTTGTCCTGTTCTCTGGGCCTGCAGACACAGGCAGAAGGAGCTCGGATTGTTGAGGAGAGGAGGAGCTGGAGAGAAGGGAGACTGAATAACCATCTTTATGCCTCTGAAGGGCTATTCTTCAGGGACAGGCAGTCACAGAGGCGTACTGGATCCAAGGCCTGGCAGCCCTTTCTCTACCACTCCGCACAATATGCAGTCTTTATCCTTTCTCTCTCTGTATCTCTGTCTGTCTCTCTCCTCTTCCTCAGCCTTTCTTTTGTCTTACACACACACACACACACACACACACAATTTCTGTGACACCCAGGCATAATGTCCTACATCCAACCACCTTCCTTTTCCTATACTCCCAGAACAGTCACTGTCACACCTCCACCGTTCATATTCACATCCCTATTACCCACCTCCAATCATCACATACACAATCAGTTTCATGTACACACCCACGCTTCCTATCACAATACTTACTACTAATATACATCTCATATCTGTACCTCTCACACAGAGTATTACATCATTTATCCATTCGAGAAGCATTCAGTATTCAGCGGACATTTATCAAGCACCATTATTAAGCAAGCGCTGGGGACAAGAGGAAAGGCGAAAGACAGCGCCTGACTTCAAGGAGTTCATCACCCAAGAGACTGGATCCCCTTGGGAACAAGTATAGAGAGAGAAAAGAAGGAAACCCCAGGATAGCACCTTAGGGGACACTCATTCTTTAAATTTTATTCTTTCATTCTCAATTAAACACCAAATAAAAAGAGCATTTCCATATATAAAGTAGATCAGAAAAAGAGGATTGTACATGAAATAATGAATCCGTTACATACAGCTTATTTTTCCTTTTAAGAATACAATAAATTCAGCATGTAGTGTTCAGAATTGTCCTGCTTGTTAGTGTTTCCTTCTGGCCTTCCTTCTATTCTTTTGTGTACTGTCCTAAAAATGCTTCAAAAACCCTCTTCTTTTTTCCCCCATCTTTTTTTTTTGTCTTTTTTTCTTGGCAGGCTATCCCTAGGTTCCTCCTCCTCCTTCCTTCTACCCCATTGGAAATGGAAAAAAGGAAAAAGCAAAATCCGTGTAAGAAATGTGTCTAGTCAAGTAAAACAAATGTCCACATTCGAATGTATCTCTTATTCTGCACTTTGAGTCCATCACTTCTCCATCAGGAGGTGGGTACCAGGCTTCATCTTGGGAGGTGGGGAGAGACAGGACACGCCCATTCTTTGAGACAATTACAGTCACAGAACCTCAAGAGTTGGATGGGGTTATCAGAGGCCACTAGCCCGACAAAACCCTCGACACCGCAAGCAAATGGTCCTTTTATTCTGTGTTTGAAGACTCCTTAGAAAGCCGAGAGAGGGAGAGAGAGAGGGCAAGCACGCACTGGACTTGTGATCAGGAACACTCGGCTTCAGACCCTGCCTCAGATGTTAGCTGTGTGACCATGGTTGAGGCAGTGAACTTCTTGAGCCCTAATTTTTCCATCTATGTATATGGAGGGTAGGGTGAGAAATCTCCTGGAGGGGCTGGGCTCGCCCTGGAAGCGTGAGTCTGCACTATCCTTACATATAAAATGTGGGGTTTGCACTCTGTGGACTTTAAGGTTCTTTCTGGTTCTAAATTGACGATCCTATGATACAAGATTTAACAAGCACTTATGAAGCCCCTATTATATGTAAAGTCAAAGGCAATAATAAATTTTTTCCAAATAGCTCCTGCCCGCAAGAAGTTTATAGTCTACCGAAAAAGAGGCAAAGATAAAAGTATCTAAGAAGTAGAAGAGCAATATGATAGAGGCTACTTCCAGGGCACACAATTTCTCACTCACCTGATGGCACAATCTCTTTGTCATACACATATACACAATTACACAATCACACCCACACAGATACACATGAGGTCACACAGTATCTCAACCACCCTGTTATATAATCTCTGTCTCTCTCACATATACACAGACACACAATCACATCCCCATCACACAATCGCACCCCCACAGACACACGTGGTCACACAATCCCTCACCCACACTGTCACACAATCAGTCACACACAGACACATAATCACACCCCCATCACACACCCACACCCACACAGATTTACACGTGGTCACACAATCTCTCACTCACACACACATATGCACATACACCCCCATCACACAATCACGCCCACACAGAAACACACGTGGTCACTCATCCCAGCGCGTGCACACACGCATACACGCATGCGCGCACGCACACAGAGGGTCGCCCACGACCACACCACGTTAGGGCGGGTGGCGAAGCTGGACTCGGCAGGAAGCCTCCTCCCCTCCCTCCCTTCCTCCCGGCCGGGAGGCCCCGCCCCCTCCCCCGCCCCCTCATGAATATCCCGTCCCAGATTAGCGCGGGCCCCGCCCCGCCCCGCCATTTGTCGCGGCTCGGGAGGCTGCGCTCGCTGCCTGGGCGCTGAGGAGGGAGGCTGAGGAGCGCGAACCCGGACCCCGGCCCTCGGCCGGGCCCCCCCCCGCCGCTCTCGCCTCGGCGGCTCGCGCCTGTGCCCTCCCCTCGCCGCCCCTCGGGAGCCGCGGCGCCCCCGGCCCGGCCCCTGCCCCGAAGCCCCCGCCGCGGTGCCCCCGGCCCTGCCCGGGCCGCCCTGCAGCCCGCCCGCCGCGGCCCGCGCTCGGCTCCGGAGGGGTGGGTAGGGGGAGCGGGGCCTCCGCAGGGGCCGGCCCCGGCTGGGCCGGGCTGGGCCGGGCCGGGCCGGACGCCCCCATGGCCACGGCGGGCTGGCGGGACGGCTCCGGGCAGGAGAAGTACCGGCTCGTGGTGGTGGGAGGAGGCGGCGTCGGCAAGTCGGCGCTCACCATCCAGTTCATCCAGGTGACCGCGACGCGGCTCTGGCGCGGGGGGCTCCCGTGGGGAGGGGGCTGAGGCTGCCCCGAGGAGGGGAAGGGGGGAAAGGGGCTGAGGCTGCCCCGCGGGGGTGGGGCCAGGGAGGGGGTTGAGGCTGCCCCGCGGGGGGGGCCAGGGAGGGGAGCTGAGGCTGCCCCGCGGCTGGGGGGGATGAGGGGGCTGAGGCTGCCCCGGGGGCGTGGCTGAGGTTGCCCCGTGGGGAGCGGGCTAATGCTGCCGCGTGAGGGGGGGGAGGGAGCTGAGGCTGCCCCGTGGAGGAGGGGAAGAGGGGCTGCCCCATAAGAGAGGGGTCTGAGGCTGCCCAGTGCGGGGACAGCCCGGGACCCGGAAAGTTGTCGGTGTTGGCCTCCCAAAGCCATCCCCTAGATGGTTACCGCTTTCTTACCCTGCTTTACGTACCGTCGGTGCCGAGGGAGCCAGACTCCTTTGGAATGTGGAAGGGAAGGGCGGAGAAGATTTTAATCCACCTTATCTCCCGAGCTGGGGCCAGCCGGGGAGGAGAGAGCTGGGGGTTTCTTTTCGTCTCTTCCCCCGGACTTGGTGGGTTCAGAGCCTTGGAATCTCTGCTTCCCCACACACTCCCCACCCCCCATTGCTCCCTCCCCCCATCTGTTTGATGATTTTGGGAGCCTCCAGGATGGGATGGTGTGTCCTTAACACTTTTCCTTCAATTTGAGGTCGTGTTAGGAGGGGTCCAACCTTGGGCATGCCTCATGTTTGACTTGTGGTAAGACAAAGACATGAAATTGTTTTGTGCACTTTATACATGTGTTAAAACCATCCCTCTTTTGGGTGGGATTATAAAGATATGGGGAAAATGGTGCCTGCGGAGAAATTAAAATACAGCTAGAGAAACCATTTCATTCCTCCGAATTCCTTGTGTTGTTCTGCCATGGTGGAACTTAGATTGGGATACACCTAGCATCATAATAGTGTGCATACTTTTTTCACAAATGGTTATTGTAAGTATTATCTCCTTTTTACAGATGAGCAGACCAAGACTCAGGAAGGTTTAGGTGACTTCCTCAGGGTCACCCAGCTAGGAAGTGCAGGAGGCTGAGTTGAAACCCAGGCTCTGCTGACTCCAAGTCTAGAGTTCTTTACACCAATACCACATTGCCCTGTGAAATTTTGGAAAGTTTGAAGGGACTTTAGCAATCATTTGGAAGCTGTGGCTCAGTTGAATTATTTGCCCAACAAGATCACACAGGTAATAAGTGATAGAGCAGGGACTGAAATCAATCTTCTGACTCCACATCCAGTGCTATTTGACTACCTTTCCTTTGTTTTAGATTTAACTGACTTGTGCGTCAGCTCTACCTTCCCACCCTAAGATATTTTCTTTTCAATTTATTTTTTATTAATTTATTTATTTTGCTTTTTTTTTTTTGTCTAGGCAGTGGGGTTAAGTGACTTGCCCAGGATCACACAGCTAATAAGTGTTATGTGTCTGAGGGCCTCCTGACTCCAAGGCTGGAGCTCTATCCACTACGCCATCTAGCTGCCCCATATTTTTTATTAATTTATTAAGTGCCTCCTATGTGCAATTTACTGTCCTTTGTGGGTCAACCACCCTTAGGCTGTGGGCTTGCATCTGGGTGAGGAAGAGGATCAGAGGTGGAATACTTCGTTTAAATGTAGTTCAACAGATAATTTTTAAGTCCTTGCTTGTTGCAAAGTATTATGCCATAGGTGGAAAGAGAGAAAATGGTATTCTCTTCTGCCCTACAAAACCTAGAATTTAGTAGAGAGTTGACCTGTATACAAATAAATATGAGTTGGAATGAAGAAGGTATGTGAAAGGTGAGATTGTGAGATAGTGGAAGGTGGGGGGAGGTTACCGGGAAGATCAGGGAAGGCCTCAGGGAGGAGGTGGCCTAAACTAGAAAGAAGGAAAAGAAGGAAAGGTTTTCTACAGATGGAGCTATGGAGGACAGTTTTTAGGCTTAAGAAAATTAATTACTTAGAATTTGTGGCTAGTAACAGGAATCTGATCTTTTTAATTCATGATTTCTTCAATCCAAAATATCAGGTACTAATGTACTAACAATCTTTATAATACTACTTTTGTCAGTTCTTGAGTCCTAAAAGATAAGTTAGGTGGCTATTTGGTGCAGGCAGTGATCCATATTCATTGCTTGGTTTTGTTGGCATATCCTGAACAGTATGGCAATTAATATAATTGAAATGCTTCAGTAGGTATTGGATTTTGTATTTTTCCAGTCCATTGTTCTAAACAGGATACTTAAATAGCCTGTCCTTCCATTTTTACTTAATGGGTATTAACAACTACCGATATCAGTAACATGTGGAAGTTGACATAATCACCTGTTATGTTGATGTTATGAGTAATAATCTTTGCAATAGTGTGAGGAGGGACTAAACCTAAAAGCCGTTACTTCAGTTTAACAGATGCTTGTTAAGTAGCTGGACTGGTGCTATGGTACAAAGGTTAAAAAAAAACAAAACCTGGTCCTGGCCATCTATAAGTTTGGGGAGGGTGGCATACATTCTGATATGTAAATATAAATGTATTTACAGAGTAATGCTAAAGTAGTTCTTAGATGGAGCAAGCGCTTAGCCACCGATGGGATCTTTACAACTGTGGTGTAGGAGATGGCAGCTGAGTGATGGCTTTGAGGGAAGCAAGGTCTTCTACCACCTGGAGATGGAGGGAATATATTTTAAACACTGGGGAGCATTTGGACTAGGGATTGAAGGTGGTTAGTGGAATGCTCTGTGTGGGAAGTAGCTTTCAGGCCAATGTGACAGGAATGGAAAGTGTGTCAAGAAGAATGCTATTAAACAACACTGGAAAAATAGTTTCCAGGCTGAAAATTTTATGTTTTATACAAAAGCAATTAGTAGCTTTCAAACAGTTTGAGTTGGGAGTGACATGGTCAAATTTGTGTTTTAGTAATATCAATAATTGAGACTTGGGTTGCTAAAAATTATTGCAGCTGGTGAAATGAGAAGAAGGAATGCCTGTGTTATCCCATTATTGACTTATTCTTTCTGGGTGCCCATTAGCTATTAAAAATATGTGAAGAGTAAGAGTAGACAGTGAGCATATGGTTTGGCTAGAGAACCTAGGATGCTGTTGTGTAGCTATTTTCCAAGGGCTTAGGGTAACATTAGGAAACTGATAGCAAAGCAATTTATAGCAGGCTTTTCTCTGGGGAGTACGGTCTCATGGTTAAAACAAAGGGGGAGGTGGGAGGTAGGAATTATGGATTCTTTTCCTGCCTCTACTACTGATAAATTATTTTACTTAAAACACTCAAAACCACAAGTGTTTAAAAACTTTGATATCCGACTGTTTGAATCCTAAATGAGTATAATGATTAGAACTTCTCTGAGTGAAGAAAAGCAGGAGAAACTTGTGAGAAAAGGCACTGGGTATTGGACACAACACTGGACATGAAGTCAAGAGATCCCTGTTCCAGCTTTACCTCTGACACTTCATTTCCCTGTGATTTTTGTCAAGGAAATTTACCTTACAACTTAAGAAGAATTTGTGTTTCCTTGTTGTAAAATGGGGTTGATCATACTTGCGCTAGCCACTTTATAGTGTGGTTGTGAGAAAAGCATTTTGTAAAAGTAAAAACACTGTATAAATGGGAGCTGTCATTTAAAATACAAGTGCTTTTTTTGAGCTCTTGTAATAAACATCATTTTGTAAGCATTGACTGCCTAGTTTGTAGAAAGCATTGAGCTAGGTGCTCATTGATGCAAAGGAGGTTGAGACATATGATCCTTCCCTTGGAAATTTGCAGTCTAGTTGAGGAAAGTTAAAATGCTTAGAGAATAATTTTTAGTCACCATATAAATAAGCATAGCAAAATGTCTAGAAAACCTGACAGGTCTGGGTCAACTCCCATTTATGACACATATTTGATTGTGTGACTGCAGATTTTGAGAGTCTCAGAGGAAATCAGGAAGAGAGGGGATGAAGGTGAGGAGGGAGAGCATTCCTGTGCCTGCTACAGTAACAGGAAAATTGGAAAAAGGACAAGGGAAAGATAATTAGTTCTTATATTGAATATATTGAATTTGAGATAACTATGCACATCCATTGAGGGGTGGGGTAGAAGGGGCAGTTGATGATGTAGGACAGGAGAAAGACTAGGGCTGGATGTTTAGATCTTGGAATAATCTACATAGGTATGATAATTAAACTCATGGCAGCTGGTGAAATGACCAAATGAAAGTGCATAGAGGGGGAAAAGAGAGGACAGAGCTTTGGTTGCCACCTAGGGTTAGTGGACATACCTTGGAGTGAAGAGCCAGTAAATGAGTCCGAAGAGTTGTCAGACAGGTAGTAGGAAAACCAGGACAGGGGACTACCTTGAAAACCTAGAGAGGAAAGTGTATCCAGGAGGAGATGGGGATCTACAGTGTCAGAGGTTGCAGAGAGGTCACAGAGTGGGGGTTGAGAAAAGCCCAGTAGAATTGACAAGGAGGTTATTGGTAACTTCAGAAAGAGCAGTTTCTTCTGAATGATGAGGTCAGGAGCCTCCTTACAGGGGGGCTTAGAAAAGAGTAAGAGCAGTAGAAGTGGAGTCCCAAATTATTGGTGGTTATTGGGCAAGGTCACAGTGATGTTGTTTTAAGGATGGAGGAGACATGGATGGGTTTGTTTTTTTTTTTAAATTTTTTGACAGTAGGAGAAGATCCAATAGATAGGGAAAGATGGAAGATTAGAGAGAGTGGGAATGATAGCAAAGGCAATCTTCTGGTGAAGACAAAGGGCCCTTTAGAGGAGTTTGCATTGACAAGGAGAAAGGCTACAACCTGATTAGTGTCTCGTATAGCCTGGTTGGCCACATTCAAAATCTTTTTCTTCCTGTGATTTTTTTTCTTATTTGGGACTTAAATAAGCATTTATTAAGAACCTTCTGTGTACTCATATGCTAAGGATGCCAAAGCCAAATATTCCTTGCTCTCTAGGAACTTATATTCCTATT